GGGGTACTAGTAATGATCTTTGGGTAAAAGACTGCATACTCAGTCAATAAGCTTGTCAACACATGTATCCACAGTTAGGTAAATGTAATAGTGAGGGATGGTTTGTTTTGATTGCAACAAACAGGATTTTGTGACCTGTAGCATTTATTAATTTATTTAGCTACTATATCAATTCACAATTACAATTGAGATGCTAAAGTAGTTTTTTGTTGTCTTCAAAATACACAATAATTGGAAGTCATATTACCAACTTCCCTGGTGGAAGTTAAGTATAGCAATTTAACTATTTACTGATTTATTTTATTGTTCAGGATGCTATTGGAGCTATCGATGGAACTCATATTCCAGCAATGGTGTCTGAAAAAAATGCCCCAAGTCACAGAAATCGCCATGGGATTATTTCGCAAAACGTTTTGACTGCTTGCAACTTTGATCTAGAATTTATTTACGTGCTTAGCGGTTGGGAAGGTTCAGCACATGACTCGAAAATACTCAGTGATGCTTTAACTAATAAAAATGGACTCAAAGTGCCTCAAGGTATGATTAAAAAAAATAGAACTCATTCACACTTGCACAAATTTTTAATGACAAGACAAGTTACAAATTACGAATTAATTTATATATTTCATATGTATATACTTTTTTCATGATATGACATGTTACGACTTATGAACTACTAATCAATTATTTTATATTTAGGTAAATGGTTTCTAGTGGATTGTGGATTTTCAAATCGACATCAATTTTTGGCTCCTTTTCGAGGTACTAGATATCACCTTCAAGGTTTTTCTGGTCAAGGGCGTCATCCAGAAAATGCAAAAGAATTGTTTAATCTTCGTCACTCTTCTTTGAGGAATGTGGTGGAGCGAATATTTGGCATATTTAAATCTCGTTTCACAATTTTCAAATCAGCCCCTCTTTTCCCATATCGCACACAAGCAGAGCTAGTCTTAGCTTGTGCGGCTTTACATAATTTTTTGCGCAAAGAGTGTCGATCCGATGAATTTCCAGTTGACGTTGAAGATGGAGTTTTGATAGAAGATGAAACACAAGATTTCGGACCATATTTTGAAAGTCAAGAACAGGAACGAGAAGCCGCAAATGCATGGAGATTGAGTTTGGCAACTAACATGTGGAATGATGTTGGAAATATTTGATGTATTATTCATTTCATATTTGTTCTTTTTGATTTTTCTACTTTCCCTAAAATATCAGCTAGACAACTATTGTACTCTTTTGGTTCTATTGTTGAATTTTTTCATGCTTTTTTTCTTATCGAGTTATTTTGTTATAATATTTTTTTTCCTCTTCATTCTTGCTCTATGGATAATTCATAACAAATTTTAAGTTATTATAATTTTATAATTACTAATTTGACTTTATTGATAATTGTTATAATGCACATTATTTTTATGAGCATTTCATAAAATTTTATTTTTATATTAAGAAATATATTAAAGTCTTAGAAAGTCC